CTATCTGTGCCCATCAGAGCCCATTTTTAGAAACTGCACACATCCTCTGGAGTGTGGATGGTTTCTACTCATGAGCTTGCATGGCTTATTTATTTGTCTTATCTTTAGATGTCCTGTCCCTGTCCAGGCATGCAGTCAGCTGCAGCTTGCTGTGTACTGCAGAAGTTTCAAGACATTTTTAATTGGACACCAGGAATAACATTAAAGTGGCTTTGAACCGTGTGGTATCAAAAATTCATCTGAGACATATTTAAGAGTGGAGTAGCCTTCTCAGCTAACAGGGGAGAGCGAGAGGCAGGCAGTTGTTCGGTAGGTTTGATTTGTTGGGCCTATTTGTGAATGTGTGTGTGATCTTTTTGTATGTCCATGCAAGCATGTATGTGTTATGTTATTATGCATGTGTATGCTAGTGTCTTTGGACATGTGTTTACTTTACACCACAAATCGTTGCCTATAAATATGTATTGAGCTTACATACATTTCCTCTTATAAACTGTGGAAAGAACCAGGTTTCCCCAGCCATGCACTGTAAAAGCTAGGTTAGGTTAACTGTAAAGGGTTTTCACTGGACACAGTGCATCACTCCTTGTGTGATTACTGGATGGAAGTTATACGTTTTACCAGGTATGATGTTTCATAGAACCATTCAGAAGTTACAAAAAAAACTTTGTTATTCATGATAATGTTTTACTCAAAGCAATATCAAAGCCAGTGTTTTATCTTCCTCCAAAGTCCTCCTTTGCCCATTAAAACAAATCTACTGAGACATTATTTCATAAGCTTGATAAAAAGGCCTACAGTCAGATCTGGTCAGGGAGATATGCCAGAGTCCCACTCAAATAGCTATAGTATTGTATTGCTATCTATTCTGATGCTATATAAATAAGGAGCTAATTTCCTCTTTTTATAGTTAATAGATATACTGTAGACTAACTATCTCTTGTCTGTGTAAGTATTGCAGATAATGTCTTTTTTCATCTTTCCTTTTTTAGTCACTGTCTTCACTCTTTTAGTTAATTTCATGCAGGATGGGAATCAGGACCATCTATCCGTGCCAAACACTATGATGTAATAACCTTAGTATGAAAGCAAAGTGACGCAAAATTACATAGCCAACCTATATGACGTAAAAACATTGTTGTTAAGTGGATTGGCTGACTATTTGAGTCTAGTTGTGTGTTAGGTCCTGTTAGCCACCCTTGGAGATGCTGTAATATGCATTAAGCCTCATACAAAGTGTTGAATGGAACTAATCATAGATCATAGATTTTGCTTTCCTGTGCTCTGCTTAAATTGTAGAGCTTCTCCCAAGGTGCTAGAGGAAAGGTCATGGGGTCATTAAAATCAAAAGGTTTTATCTTTTTACGATATCTGATCATAGATCCTGAGAAGTTGACATTTTCGTGTGGGGTGGAATGTGCAAAATAGAAAGGGTTCATCCTCCAGGGAGAATGGTTGTTGTACATTCAATGGCAATCTCCCAAACATTTTTCTATATTCTGTGTACAAATGGAAATGTGGCCGTCCATGGAGGTGGCACGAGATTAGGGGGTGACCAATAAAATGAGCTTTCATCCTTTAACAATCCACTGGGACTTACCTTTACATTTTTTAATCTCAAGTAGGAGGTTATTCAGTCATGGTTTTATCACTTAAGGAATGTATCCAAAATTAAGTTATTTCTGTTTTCCCCTGACCTGACCTGCCTTGATTTCATCCCATCTCGACTAATATAATTTCCTTATACTCTGCACTTAGTAGAGAAGCACTTATTTGTCTGCAGTTGATTCAAAATGTTGTTGCCAGGCGTTTGACTGGAAGTGAGAGAAGACAACATGTTAATCTTATTTCACCATCTCTCCATTGGCTACCTTTTGCCTTTGGAAAACATTTTGATATTTTATTGATTACATATTATGTTAGGTGATGATGATGATGATGATGTGATGTGATATGACTACCCAAAATATACTATACATGAAGGTTTTGTGCATGTTTTTTTAGAGGATAGAAAAAAAAGATAGTATACTGTTTTTGAACGCAGTGAGGACCCAACTCCGCTTTCGTCAAAAGGAACAAGAGATGTCAGAGTCTGAGGGTGTTGAAAAGCAGCCACTGTAGAGTCTGCTTTAATAATTCAGAGCAACTAAATAGGTCACACAAGTATTAATTAAGCAGAGCAGGGTATGGGGGAGGGAGAAGAAGAGGGAAAGATAGATGGACACATAAGAATATGGCTGAGAAATAAGCGAGAAGAGTGCAATCAAATGGAAAAGTGGTGGGAGAAAGGGAGATAAAAACAGAACAAGTTAGAGAAGAAGAGTGGGGGAGAAAAGCAAGACCAGAGGAGGAAGGAGGTATGGCGTAACGGTCTATATCATTTGCACTAATCAATGGAGCAGCGTGGGAGTTCCCGGCCCTGTCATCACCGCCATCCCACACACATATACTGTACATACTCACGCAAATCAAACATGTTAATACATTTTCTAGCTGCTAAATCTCCACATCATCAGCATTTGACAGAGTAATGGTCACACACACTAATGCAAAAGAGAGAGTCAACTTCCACGCATGGAATCAAATGAATAGCTCACACAAGCTCAACTAACATGCATGCAAATCCCCTTTGCAGCAAACATGCAGTTGTAACAACTGTTGCAGCATCACAAATGATTATTATGTTGCATGTTAAGTTACTGAAAACATTCACGAGTGTTCTTTAATCCATCTCCTGCTGTTTCCTAAAATACCACACATGCATGTTGGGAACGACTGAACAGTTTGCAGTATTTGATTGTTTATCTTGAGGCAGTAAAATGTGTTGGAAGTCTTGGCCTCCTGCCTCTCAGCTGAGTAAGTTCAAAAATCATTGTGATGAGCTGTCAGAGCTGAGATAACGTATTATTAGACCTACAAGAATGAACATTGTGTCACTTCTCTATCAATATTCTCTATTAACTAATTTGTAGCCTGAATGATAAAATGAAAAAAGCAATATTACCATACATGTTTTAAAACAATTGTGTCTGCTATACTTTATCTTGCTATGCTGGGCTATTTTACAGCCATGGTTTAGTATTATCTGTAGGATTTTGCAGGCTCTTTTTTCTAAAAAAAAAAAAAGTTTCAATGTTTTAGGTATTTTCTTCAATAAAATTGTGGATGAAAGGGAAAATTGCAAAAGTAGTTGCATTTAAAAATAATAATTTATTAAAAATAGAAAGGTGATGTGTTTCAGTCAGAATAACATCACTAGAAGTTTGTTGGCTTATGGATCATTGTTTTATCTGCTATCATTGGTGAAACTCAAAAACAATGATTTTGAAATTTGCGGAAAATTTGCAGTGATTGGACAAAATTGCAAGGTCCCAATGAATTCACAGGGATTGGTTGAATTTACGTTAACTGTTTCAATCTCAACATTGCTACCTGGAGGGACTGTATTATGTTGGAAGGCCTCAAAACAATTTCAATACTATTGAAAAGGGCATTCAAACAGATTCAGATTTAAATGGTGATAATATAAGCCCTTTTTTATATATTACTCTGTAAATTGCTGTTTTAATTGACTTTTGCATAGTTTAAGCTTGGCTCAGTTGTTAAACACCCTTCTAAAAAGTGAACTAACCCCAGCTGTCTCCTGTCTCTCCTCATCTCCTTCCTCTCCTCTCTCTGAGACCAATACTCTTATGCCCTGAAGTCAGCAGACATGACAACCGCGCCAGAGCAGACAGTAGGCAGTGGATTATGCAAGAGCCAAATTTCATGGTCTAATGAAGATTTTCTACTTTTCTTCTTGCAACAGTACTTGTCTTCAGCTATAACTACAGAGTACCATGTTACTCAATCATTTATTGCTCCTGTCCACTGGCCGCTTTGCTGTCCATGTCTCCACTGATTTGGCCAAAATGAGAGCAAAAGAGCGAGTAGATTTGGTTCAGATTAATATTGATGGACTTGCTTCTTGTCCCTTTGCAGATTTTTACTGGGTTTTAGTGATGAAAATGGATGTAAAGCCTAGTTATTTAATCAGTCTTACTCTTGGTATTTCATTATTTAGTTGCTCATGGAACAAAACATAATAAAGTTGACTCATATATATTTAGTCCCACATATAAGGGGTTCCCTCAGCTACTATACTTGATTTCATAATTTATAGTTTTAACAGGCCTTTTCATAATTGAGTTATTGTCAAGAATACAGTACCAAGAAATAAGTATGTGCTTTTGCTCATGGGTACTTGATGCTGAGGTGCACATAAATAAGGGATGGTACTGCTTAGTGGCCAACTATATACTGTGGTTGTACTGTTCAGCTGAACTGTGTGAGTACTTATGGATCTCGGTCTAGAAAATCTGTTAAAAGAGTATTTCCAAGGTAATTTCATCCTGAACTATCACAATCGAGGGTCAAGTAGAGTCAAGGGCACACAAGTGGATCATTTTGAATATAAAATAATAATAATAATAATAATAATAATAATAATAATAATAGTAAAAGCAATAGGCTGCTGGTGCTGGTACCCTTTCAAACACCAAAAAAATATGTTTGAACCACCCACATCAACTGAATAATTATCAGTTGCTACTTGACAGTATCATAACATAACATAACAGATTCACTGACCTTCATTCATTCTCACCAGTCCAATTTTGGACGAGGATTTTTCTCTTAATATACAAGATGCAGAGGTAGTTGCAAAAAACCAACAGTATTCAGTATTCTGTAAATGCACATACACAAAAGAAAGATCATGAGTCATCGTTTTCTTGTAGATAACTTTTTTTTTTTTAGACTAACCAAATCAAATTTTAGATTAACCAAACCAATTTACTGGGTATACTGTCAGTAAATGTAAAATGTTGACAAATGTTAAACCTAATCAAGTGCCAAGTGATTTATTAACTGGACTGTGATCCAGATGGTACATGATTATGAACATACATACAGATTATTAACATCCCTTAGTAATTCCTGTTCTCTGTACTCTATCTCAGATGGTTACACTACAGATGACATTGAGTTCTACTGGCGAGGCGGAGACAATGCCGTGACGGGGGTGGACAAGATTGAACTGCCGCAGTTCTCCATTGTGGATCATAAACTCATCTCCAAGAATGTCGTCTTCTCCACAGGTAATGTGAACAAAGGCTGAAATACATAAATCACGGCAGTAATAAAAGAGACCAATTTAGACTTAATTAGTCAACTGTACGAGGTTGAACACACAAACAGCAACACTAATACAACCTTATGCAATTCAGCATTATTAGCTCTGTAAATATTATCTTATTATCTATTATCAATCAATCTTATAGCATACAAATGCTAAATGTTATGTAAATGCCCAAACATGCAGTGCATGAAAAACTTTGGATGAAGTGCAGTCCTGGGAGACAGAAGACACCATGACTTATTTAACAGCAATAAACAAAAAGAATGCTGTCTGATACAATGAAATATTCACCTCTACTGCATTTTTTCATATTCATGAATTTGTCATGCAAGCGAGTAAATGTAAGCGGGACAGCGGTTCTACTGAATACCGTTCCTGGGTACTGTACTGAATGAAAGCAGAACATGAATGCAATAAGATGGTAGAGAGCGCCAATGAAAGGACTCATTTTGTCTGCAAGGGTCACACATTTCACACAACCCTATTAATAATATAATGCTTCCTGATAAATGCACAATGTTTGTATGCATGTGTGTGTGCCTGTGTTTGTTGTCCATTAATATGAATGCAAGTAAGTCTACCAAAGTGTGTCCCTTCACTGTGTGCCTGATGAGAGATATGGCAGACGGGGGATTCCCTTTTACCATGCTGGCTGTTGCGATATGGAGAGACCGACCTGGGGGTCACTCAGAGATGCAAACGTCAGCAAGTGCCTGGGTATTTATCCAATGCAAGAGTCATGTTTCACACCAAGGATGGGCAATGTCATTGTTGTCCTTATGAATAATATATATTCACTGTTGCACCTACGTCCTGTAATTTTCTACCCAAGCTGTTTCCTCACTTCATAAAGAAATAATTTAGTGAAGCTCTCAGTGGCTCATGCTCACATAACTGAAATAGCAGATCTAAGTGGTGAAAGTCCAAGAGGAGCTGAGGCTGATGGATTGTTGGTGCCTTCATTAAAAAGACTTAATCTTACTCCTGTGCCCAGCTTCTGTTTCTGCAATAAACTGTCTCTTCTTGTGGTGCCTTTCCCTATTCAGTTGTAATGCAACCAAAATATAGCCAATTCCCTAAGGAGAGAAATATGTGTGCTGATACAATTCGCTATTACCAAAACCCTGCTGTGGGCTTATTTCAAATAGAGCATAGATAAGCAAAAAAAAAAAAAAAAGGCAGGACCCTCAACAGACAAGCCATCAAACCTCTTGCACAGGCAATAGCGAACAGGTATTTCTGGAGAGCGCTGATGCTTCAGTTCAGTGAAGACAGTAAATATGGCTTTTTACTGAGTTCTTCTGCAATGGACAACCCAGGGATCAGAGACTATATGACTGGATAGGAATAAGTAGTCCACATTGTTGTGATGATTTACAGTATGGAAACCTAATGTTAATAAAAGAGCTTGGAAGAAGAACTGCTAAAGAGTACAGTCTACATTTTAAAATCCCTTGCATCATAGTAAAACATAGTAAAACCAACATAGTGAAAAGAGTGAGAAAGCCCGCATATGGAGGTGATGGGGTGGATAAATTGGTTGCTTTTAATCATCAAAACAACTTAACCTTTTACAAATAATTTGTTGTGCGTAAATTTAACCATAACCTTACCATAGATAGGGCAGATGAGAAATCAGAAAACATAAAGTCCTGGATACCTGGCAGCTGTGGCAAATACATCACCCAACACTGCGTCTGCTTGCTTTTTTTCTTCCCCCGTCCCATCTCTGCAGGTGCCTACCCTCGTCTGTCCCTGAGTTTTAAGCTGAAGAGAAACATTGGGTACTTCATCTTGCAGACATACATGCCTTCTATACTTATCACCATCCTCTCCTGGGTCTCCTTCTGGATCAACTATGACGCCTCTGCTGCCAGAGTGGCTCTAGGTGAGGCATGCAATACAAATATAGACAGATAGGCGGGATGGTTGAAACAGGGGTGGACATTTCAAAGAAGATTGTACTGGCATTGAAATCAACTCAGCAGGGAAATCCAAGAGAAAGCAATTCATGGATTTTTTTTTTCACTTCATAGCATTCATATTCACATCATTCACTTGAAGGGCAAAGGCAGGGAACATGTAGGGTAAGAAGTTGGTTTACTACATATTTCAAATTCAGATTAAATGCACTTATCAGTGCTGAAAAGGCCATGACTTTTCATAGTAAAGATTCATATTCATACAGTTCTTTAAAATTTTCATCTTTTTACCTTCATAAATTAGTTAATTAATTACGGTGCTTTGTTTCTTTATTAATTCTACACAGGATTCCTATACAGTGACTAAAGAATGCTGAACAGCACTGTGCTGATCCACTGTGTTACTACACTATGTTGCACATCTTTTACAATGACTGTGGGTGTTAACAGGGTCAAATATCCATCCCAGTAGAACAAATGTTGCTGTGTTCCACAGACATGTTATGTGATTTGTTTCCACTTTGATTCGAGAGCCTCTGTGCTTTTCTGGAAGTCACAATTTCACCCCGTCATTCTTGATTATGTAAACCCTATGTAGCCTGTAAGGTTTGTATTGAGGTTCCAACTTGTTCTGTGTTTATTGGAAGCTCCCTGTCTTCTTTTCACCCAACTCCATCCACCCAGCTTCACCCATCCTTCTACCCATCCCTCGCTTTAGTCGACAAGGCAATTTCGCTGATTGACGACTGAGCTGCATTTAGTGATCCGCGGGGAAGGCATGCATGGGATTTAATGAAAAAAAAAGTAATGCTCCATAATGGAGGAGGGTCAGCAGAGTTGGGAAATGTTCAGTCACCCCCCAATCTACACTGGATTCAGGAACCACTTTACTCTGACCTGCTTTCAGGCATTAAAATGGACCTGTAATGGCTGAATCACATGGCCACTGTGCTGCAGAAATCCTTTGTTGTTATTGTTAAGCTCTTGCAGCAAATGCTTGGGAAAATTGCCTGAATCCTATTTTGAGCTGTCACCTGACAGCTTTGTAACAGCTGTATAATAATTAAGTAATTGTTTACTGAGGCTTTAATAGAAATTGCCTTAAATAATCACACTGTGTGTGCTTTCAAAGTAGAATATACAGGTGCATGGGGGTGGATTCATGAGCACTATAGGAGCTGAAAACACAATTATTTAATCATATTTAAGCTTAAGAATCAGCCGCTTATATAATTCCTGCATATAGATAATACCATAGACACACACTATAGTCAGCACACTACATTCAAGAGCCAGTGCTAAAATGGCAAAAATATTAAATTAAACTACTGCTAGCTAGGGGTAGCGTGTCACTCATAATAAGCACAAACTCAACACATTGATATGCACAGTCAATCTGACAGTAACTATCCCCACAGCTTGCTGGCTGATGCTTTTGAAAACCGTCTACAACTTTTCTCAGTAGGAGTTCTCCACTAATGAACAAGACCAAGGTTGACATTTAAATTTCAAATTGCTGCACTGCTTCAGGTGTACGTCTTTTAGATCGTCTCCCAATGCATAGTTTGAAGTCGTGGGGGTAAGCTTCTCGCTTCCATTGATCCTGACAGGCTTAATGAAGCACAGACATGGTAACAAGTTGATCACAAAGGTGTCTTGCAGTTGGAAGGATTCAAACTGCCACACATTGAACTTAGTCGTAAGTAAGTAGTAGTGGTGCTATTGATTTCATAGACACATATATGCCAATGCCAATATGTAGTTTATAAAGCAGTACGAACTCTTATTTTGTTATTTTAACATTCATGACTCACCACACCATTTCTGTTTCAATGTAATGAATGTGGTCTTTCTCCACCAGGTATTACCACGGTGCTCACCATGACTACCATTAACACCCACCTGAGAGAAACCCTCCCCAAAATCCCCTATGTCAAGGCCATAGACATGTACCTCATGGGCTGCTTTGTCTTTGTCTTCCTGGCTCTGTTGGAGTATGCACTGGTAAACTACATCTTCTTCGGACGGGGTCCTCAGCGTCAGAAAAAGGCAGCTGAAAAGACAGCTACAGCCAACAACGAAAAGATGAGGATGGACCAACATAAGGTAAGAATAGCTTAGCTTGCCTCAGTTTGTAGACCTGCATTTTAGTTTTATTTAGAACCCCCCACCGCCCCCCAAAAAAACGAAAAAGGAAAGAAAAGAAAAAGCTCTAGATTCACAGAATCAAACATTTTCTTTTTTTTGCCATGAAAATTGTATTATTCATAAAGCTGTCTAAGGAGCTCAGAATAATGACTTCAAATGGAGGGTTGACCTAATGTTTCCTGCCTACACTGTGTCAATTTAAGTCAGGCTAACAACCTTTTACTATGCCTGTTTAGCTGAAACAGGGTGAAAGAAGGTCTCTCAGCCACTTGGCTGTTTGTCTTGAAAGAGTTGCATTAGCATTCACAATTTTGCTCCCAGTTAACATGAGCAAATTGATTACTAGTAAAGATGCAAAATGGCCTCCATAACACGGATATACATGGACGTGCTGATATCAGTTGAATACTGAGTAGAATGACATTACGTTAAGGCAAAGAATGAAAATTAAACTACACTTGTGTTTTTAATCCTTTGATAACAAGAGGAAACTCTCCAGTTAAAACTGTGCACTGCTGTTCATGACCACAAGCATTCGGTACTTACTAGTGAACATAAGGATTTAGTTATCTTATAAAATGTACATTGTTGCCAACCAATATCCATCGAAACAAATAAACCTTCTTCCACTAGTTTTCAGTTGCTCAAGTAACCATGGTTATGCTGTTTGCTTGCAGTGGCTGGTGGGGAATGTAGTTGGCAGAGATGATACTCTGTATGCAAGAATGAAACAAAGAGATCTTGATGGTCATGACTCGATGTGGGAACCGATCTTTGTGGATGACGCAGCAATCGGACTTGGCGATCAAAAGAATAAGGTACCACAAAATACTACTCTTTTGACACTTGGGTGGAGCAGAACAATATGTACACACAACACAATCATATTATGTGTATATGTATTTGTTTTTGGCCACCTGGCCAATATAAGGCCAGTATTCTTTGTTGGATTAATCTTCACCAACTGCTGAGGGAAATATCTGGCTCATTTATCACAATTAAATGCTCTATTATGTTTACCAGCAAGTTGTTAACTTTGTCTCTTTGCTGTTTGGTGCTAGGAAGGTAAAACAAAAGCCACAAACTGAAAGATGCTAAAATGGTCCATAGATTATGATAACATTACACATAATCTCATAAATACTTAATATATTTTGAAGTAATATACATTAATATATCTACTCTCCACATTTTTTTATTATTATTTTCTACTTTTGGTACTTACATTTATTTTATCATTTATTTAGTAAAATGTTATTTATTAGAGAAAAATGTTGACTTGACTCATTTCCTTGGGCAGATGGACCCACATGAAAACATTCTTTTAGGCACCCTGGACATCAAGAATGACATGGGTGTGTCAGAGTTGGCTCTGGGCCTTAATGACCCACGAAATACCATGCTGACATATGACAGCTCAACTCTACAATACCGCAAAGCAGGACTGGCCAGGCACAACTTTGGAAGAAACACGCTGGAATGCCACATGACTCAAAAGAAGAGCCGACTACGAAGGCGCGCTTCACAGCTTAAGATCAACATCCCAGACTTGACTGATGTAAACTCTATTGACAAATGGTCGAGGATAATCTTCCCAACTGTCTTTTCCTTCTTCAACATTGTTTACTGGCTTTACTATGTCAATTAAAAGAAAAAAAGGACATCGGTGAGGGCAAGAACAAACAGCAAAATATGTTGCTCATTTCTTGTTTGTATCTGGTTTGTTTCATTTTTTATGTAATCTCGTAATACTGGACTGAATTACTATATTCAGGACAAGATTCATCATATCTTGGAATACCACATTTGCTGGCTAACACGTGAAAACCTTATAAAAGAGAGATTACAAACATATAAGGTGCCTGTTCCTGAGTAGTTGTTTAACATTTTACATATTTTGTGAATTGTGAAACATTTCTTTAAATGTTTGTTTGAATATTTTTTATGTTTTTATCATGATTTACAGCATACACAATTCATTGCCAAAATATCATATCAGTTAGATATAAACTGACAAGCTGACATATATAAATGGCAGATACTTTCACTACTTAAAAAGTGCTGAAGCAAGTTTCAAGTCAACAGGGTTTTTTAAGATAAGTTATGTCATAAATGTATTGTTACTGGAATTCTTTTCCTATTAATCTTATAGAGGCCTAAAGTTAACAATGTGTAATATTATGTAATGGGAAAGACATTTCAGATCAACCCTTTTCTACTTTAATATATTGGGAGTTCATAAACCATTTTAATGGTGGCATTAACTATTAAGAACTAAGATCATTCCAAAACCTCCAGGTTTTAACTCAGATTGCACTTAAGAAGCCTGTTGAAGGGGAAAATACATACTGGCATAATGTATAGAGGCATAAGGCTAATACAGCCAATTTGGATTGTCAGTATTATGTTCTGTTAATGGTGTCTGTTCAAAGAGAGTAAAGAACAAAAAGAGTAAGAGAGAAATATGTAAGAAAGAAAATCTCAAATATCTGTATTCAGCCAAATTGGCTTTACTTATATCTTATCATAATTATTAATATTGGATTTAACCCCAAAGCACAAATACATGGTATGGGGACTGTATCTGAGTAGTTTAGTCTTTGAGCAATTATATGTAAATATCACCTGTATAGCATTTATTATAGGGATAATATGAAGTACAAAATTCCCTTGCAGCTCTCTATTCTCACTTTCTTGGATACATATTTACAGTACCTTTAAAAATGTCCACAACTGCTGACAAGGCACTTAATGGACACAAGGAATTATTTTGATGACTCCATTGGTCCATCAAAAGGCCAGAATGAATAAAAAGCACAAAAATCATCAAATGTCAGCTTTTGAAACCATTATTATATCATCTTTTTATGCAGATGATTTTTCTTTTTGTTACCACTGAGTCTATATATTGTAACTGCCTCCCAAACCAGATTATGATATCATATTATAGGTTCAAAACCTCTTACTCATGTATTGTTTCCTGATTGAAAAATGGGTTGATGATCATTAAGAACATAGCCGTAATTCCAAAATGAATTTATTACAGATAATCACAGATTATTTACTAATGATGCTGTGCTTTTGACTGTATGTACACAAGGTAGATTTTATAAAAGATTTTGCACACAAGTTCTTAAAAGCCATAGAGGCTGTACCATAGTTATTCTAATACCTGGTGCTTATAGGGGCTGTATAAAGAGGAACTTTATTAATATGACTATGATCACATTTTATGTTTCGGTTACAGCGAGGTTAAAATATAAGAATACAACTAGGGCTGCAATACACTAGTGTGTCATATCCCCCTCCCCATAGATTTGCAACACTGTCCGTTTGAATGAACTCTTCTGTTATGGCCTCTTCTTCTCTGCACACACAAAGTATGAAATCATTCAAAGAGTGAAATGCAAACATAGAAAGGAAGAGAAGGTAATTAAAATCACACTTAAATGTGAAGTAGTAACTGGAGCCTTTGTCTCCTTTGTCTTACGTGCTTCTTTTGAGTTCACCTAAAACAGCAAATATAATTTCTAATTTAAAGGGATGATTTCTCCTGGTACACCATTCATTTTGTTTGTGGAGATGTGAAAGTGAGCATTCATATTCTAATTGTTTACTTAAAATGTAGCCATATACAGTTATGTCTCACTGCATGCTCTGTACAGTAGTAATTCCTTGATATTCTGTTTTTGATCACTTTCTCCTTTCTCTCTGAATTGTTTCATTTCATTTGTGCTTTTTGTGTTTCATTCACCTCACAAATGACCATACATACAGTAAGTCTGTAATTAATTTATAATGAGTATGTCTGATTGATATTGCCAGTATTGATGATGATGTTAAAAATATTTACATTTTTCTATCAAGCATTTACTCAACAGTTGCGACTGTTTTAAGAATGACACAATGATGCATTTTCACAAGCACTGCCCAACAACTGAAATGTAAAATTTGGTTGAACATTGTGCATAGTTCTACCTTACAATAAAGTCCAGTTCACTTTGAACATTGGACGTTCACCAAACTGTTGTTTACATGTTCCTCATCAAAATTAATCATTTTCACATTGTGTTGATAGAGGTACTGAAAACTGCACATAGTATATTGCTTTTTGTTTTGTTTTTTATTGTTCTTGTGATTACGTCAACAATATTCTTCTTCAGATCTTTCTTGTTTTTAATATACCTTTCTTTAAGCAATTTAGTTTATTCTGTAAGGAAACACATATGTGAAGGGATGCAGATAGATTCTGACTTCTACTAGAAAACTGATTATTGGCATTGTAAAGTTTTCTATAGATGATTATGAGTTGAACTCAAATTTGGGATCATGTCCCCTAAAAACATATTTAAATCATTATGTACATATCAGTATATTATTAATCAGGAACATATTATTACTGTAAATAAATACCTATGACCTTTAAACAGAAAATGCAAAAGGACCTTTTCAATATCATGTATACTGCATTAAGAGAATGCAAAGGCTGATTTATTTTACAGCATCACTTGATCACTTTTTGTTTATTTTTGTTCTATTTGTCAAAGCACATATCTTTTGTTTTGCCAAAATGTAATATGTAATCATGAATGTAGTTGATATTCTTTTGCAGCATGAATTTGCTGTAATGTGTCAGCAAACGTATAACAATTCCTTGTACCAATGATCAGCTAAATACAGCTTAATGTAAACAACTTTATCAAACAAACACACACACACACACACAGTACATACATACACACAAAGGGTCAAGCGATAGCAAGGCTAGTGAGGCCTTTGTATCAGCATCGAAAGTTAAACATCTCAGGTCAGCACAATTCACACTACTAAGGACACTACAACCACAAACTACAACTTCAAACCCAAGAATTGTACATTACCTAAGGAAAAGTACTTTAGTGAGCTTGTTTCAGATGTTTTCTCTGTAATTTGTTTTCTCTGTTTAACACAAGTCCCATAATAGTGTAAACAGTACACATATACACACTTTATCTAGCATTGGCAGAATCTAAACACCCAAATCCACCTCAGCCATAGGAAAGTGTCAACCTACCCAATATAACTTAATAACCTGAGATAAGCTATATATACATACACACACACAGCTTAATCTTCAGAATAATACTGTATGTAGAATGACATGGTGTATTTGAGTGTGAGAGTGTGTGGTGCATGTATGTTGGCCAGACTAATGTGTTTCCAAAGCACACCAGAAACTGGCAAGAAAGGTCTGCTTCATAAGTTCTACACTTTGAATATGTGGTTGTACTTCACAGCGCGTTTTTGTTTCATATATTTTTATACTTCTATACTCTGTGTAAAAAAAATAAAACTGCGAACACTGTTGTTTGGCAAAACCTTGTAAATCCAATTTTGGCAATTTTCACATTTATACTATACAGAATGATTACATGTGTCTTCTGGGGATTCTGAAAACTCAATGACATGTATGCTTACAAAATCGTTCATGATCCCTTGTATAAAGTTATAAAGTCTACATGGTTGGACATGGTTTGAAAGTGGCTTTTGTTTCTTAATTCCCAGAAAGTAAAGGTTTTTGGAAATGCAAGGTTTTAATCAGACAACAGAGTCTTCTCTGGAGAGCAAGGACAGACTGACATCCTATAGCCTAAATGACATATCTTGGTGACAGTGTATGTTTGCACACACTCACAGAAGAAGCCTTAGCCTCCTGCTGCCCTGGACTTCACTCCAAGGAGCATCAATCCTTCTTACCCTCTCAATACCCTCCACCTTGAAAAATCCTTGTATGTGCCACCCACACGAACATTCCCAGAAACCCAGAGCAGAACCCTTCTCAAAGATAAACCCTGTAAAAGTCAGTGTCTGTCTTTACGAAAAACCTATGGAAATGAATACATTGTCAATAAATATTGTATACAGTTCTAAATCTGTGAGTGTTTATTATTGCAGGAAACTGTTTACCAGTTTATCAAAGTTCCTTACTAAAATCTGGTTTATGTGGCCATGTGAAAACATTTATAACATCTGCTGGATGTCCCCAAAACCTCAACCTCACAACACTAACACAATTAATTTGGGTTTTTTGTTTAAGTCTCAGCCAACATATACTAGTTATTTATTTGTACAACTGGAACAAACACCATAAAACTTAATTCATATATAAAGTTACAGTGAACTTAGTAAGTGAATCAGTTCTGTTTTAATGAAATGGCATTAACCTGTATACTATGGTACAGACCACATTCTTACACTATTTCTCTAAAGAAGTTGTGGTACTTTTATGTGATTTGTGGATTTAATACTGACGGGCAAAGTTTGTTCAGTTTTCAGACACCTTCATTCCAAAGCTCAGTAGCTACAAGGTCACTTTTATACTTGCTGGTAATGTAATTTTTCCAAACCACTGCTCATGCATTTGCATTTCAATTTTAAGGTGTCACATCAGAGATCAGTTATACACATTAAAATGTCGAGGGAAATAATGCTTATCGGGAGTTGAGAGATGCTCCTGCTGGTTAAGTATTGTGGTGTCAGAACATTCCTACTCCTTTATGACCAGTCATAACATTCTGCATAGAAACAGTTCAAACAGATCACAGCAGATCAACTCTGACCTGATCTTCATTTAGCTAAAGCTTTTGAACAAAGCTATGTACACATTCTTTTCATCTGTCTGAAAACATTCACTGAAT